ACATGTTGGATTGTTGGAGTGTGGTTGATGTTGTTGGAAAAGAGGTTGATGATCCATGGCTGGCAGGTTGACAGGTCCACTCCTTCCTGGACATAGTCTAGGGTACCGTCCTTCCCTTCCCCCCGCCGAAGTCTACCAGACTCTGAAGTCCCCCACCAACTCGCTCACATCTACCTACTGCTTCATGGAGAATTCGCAATTGCCCGAGACGGAAGCCAGCGAGCGTCGCGCGAACACGACGGCCAGACTCCCTGTCGTACGATCCTCAGATCAACCTTGGGAGCGCGAAGAAGAATTTGGGACTAATCGTATGAGAGACATATGAACCGAGACAAGGGCGTATACCTACTGCTCCTACCAACAGGAAGAAGGCGCGAAGCCGAACAAATCAGATGAAAGACGCAGCAAATCAGACAGGGGGTTCCACCGTCTCTCTACAGTGCCGAGTGGAGACGAGAGATCCCCGAGGACAATAATGCAGGCGAACCGTTTCAATCATGGGAACACTGCATACGCGGCAGGAATGGACCGAATGTGAGAAGAGGCGCGTCCTGGCGTTGACACATACATGAACACACAGCACACATGCATATGAGGGTGTATTATTCCTCAGACGGGACCCCATCCGGCATTTCGCAGAGCAAGAGAGGCAGCTCCTGTGTAGGGAGCTTGCCCGCCAATCTTGGACACGCCAATTCCAGAACCACCCTTTGTTTTTCCACGCATCCGCTCAAAGAGCTGCGGAAAATCCAGTTATTCCACGCTGGCATGGAAGGCTACAACCTGCAGGATGGCGCGCCGTTGGTGGTAGTGGAGGAGAGGGCGTAGGACACAAAGTAGAACGCGGCATCCGCACGACATGCAAACGTCTACCCCCAGGATTTTACAAGAAATCACAGGAGTACAAAGGCCTAGCCCTCCCTCAGGGATATGGGAGGGATCTTGGAGTGTTTGAGGTTAGTGTACAGGAATGTCCAGGATATTGTTTCGTGAGGAAGAGCGGCCTGGACCGCGAACGTGGGGCGCCGCGATACCGTCGCCACCGCCCTACACGCCGCGGGGAACTATCCGTCCCTTCCGTCATCCAGGCTGGAGCTAGAGCTTCAAGCTTCGAACATCGAGCTTCGAGCTGGCTCAAACTTAGAACAAACATGAGCAGCATACTTCTCTGGAATGACCTTGGAGACGTGTCGTTGTGATATTTGATATCTAGAGATAGAACGACTACTCCGAGACAATTGCCACCATACCCGGACGACAGCTAGGGGTTCGCGTTCCGCACAATATGGATACAATAAACCATGCCCAAGGAACAGCTTCACCTACTACAAATCCAACCCCATCATCAATAAAAACCCGCTTCTTAATAATATCCGACACCCACAGCTCGCTCCCCATCCCGTCCCCCAGCACTGCAGCCACCCCTTTCCGCGAACCCCTCCCAAAATCCGATGTCCTCCTCCACTGCGGCGATCTGACCATGATCGGGCACCTCCACGAATACGAACGAGCCCTAAAACTGCTCTCCGAAGCCTCCGCCGAGCTCAAGCTCGTCATCGCCGGAAACCACGACATCACCCTCGACGAAAAGTACTACTCGCGGATGGGACAACGCATGCACAACCGGAAATGGGATCCCCAGCTCCCCGCGCAAGCAAGAGAGCTATGGACAGGCGAAAAAGCGCGAGCGGCTGGAGTCACGTATCTAGAAGAGGGTGTGCATTCTTTCACACTCTCGAACGGCGCGAGGTTACGAGTTAGCCACCCCTCCCCTAGCTCACCCTTTGAACCACTCGCTGACGGGCAAAAGGTCTACGCATCCCCCTACCAACCCGAATTCTGCGACTGGGCCTTCCCCTATTTTCGGAACGAAGACAGATTCAACCCTCCCCATCTCGCGACCCCCGGATCAACCTCAATCGCCGAGAGGCCGATCCCAGACTTCCCGGCCATCGATGTGGTAATGGCGCACGGACCACCATTTGGGCATCTCGATAGAACAAGCACAGGATTGGACGTTGGATGCGAGCACCTCCTCCGCGCGCTTAAGAGGTGTAGGCCGAGGTTGCATTGCTTTGGGCATATTCATGAAGGCTGGGGGGCTAAGATGGTGAAGTGGAAGGACGGCGATGAGCACGATGAGACGGAATCTGTGGCGGTTGATGACGAGAGAACATTACGGGAAAGCTCAGCTGCTGTGGATGCTACGACTTTGGAATTCGGTAAAGAGTCATTGCTCGTGAATGCGAGTATCATGACTGTGCGGTATAAAGCGGAACAGGCACCTTGGTTGGTAGATCTAAATTTGGAGAAGGCATGAAGACAACTCGCTTGGGCGAGGTTAGTGTCGGGTCGCAGTGCGATCATACGCCACGTCGTGTTCAGTTCAAAGATGGTATTATATTGTTGGTTTCAGGATATTCGGAACTCATTATATTACAGCATTACTCGTCATCGTCAATATTGGCCTCCCTATCATCGAAAACCAGAAACTCTCCCGCATCGTCACCCATGATCTTCTTCCAGATAGACTTTACACTCTCCAGAACGGCACCATCGAATGCCAGATCCAACGAGGGCGGCGGGAAGTTGATGATGTGGTCGTTTGTAGTCGAGATTGAGGGACCTGTTGATGCGGCCCGTTGCTCGTAGTGTATTGACCAGAGGATTGGTGGCGAAGGTGTGATGTCCATAGTTGACAACAGTGTGTCAACAGCGTTCTTCACAAGCTTAGCACCGTCCTCGCCACCTAAAGAGGTGAATCCGTATAGTATGCCTGTAATCGGGTCAGTCTCGAATCGCTCAAGTATACGAGAGGAAAAGATTATGTTATGGAAGCCGTATCAGTTTGTCAGAGGTTGTATCGTCAATGTTGTTCAGACAATGTAGATAAGTATTCAAAAAATGGTATCATCCTTTGGCTTGGGAACAGGGTATTACGTGAAACAATTGACTTACACTGGCCTGTAGGACACTCGCCGGTATCACTGTTGTGGATAAACACATGAACCGGCGGAGTACTAACTTGGTAATCCGAACCCGAGGGTAGAGACCCCGAAGGGAAAACAACCACTGCACACGCGGGCGCGGGTGTGTCCTCCCCTAAAGAGGGAAACAGTGGCGTGCAAGCTGAGCCCACGATCGAGATGGATTTAGAGTATGAAGAATCGGCCGGTGACGATGTCTCGGCTGCTCCGACGACATATCGAGCGGTGAGAACCTCACCGTCTGTCAGTCGAAGCTTGATTCTCACACCCACGTCATCAGCTGGAGCCTCGATATTTTCTTCAATTTGAGATAATCCTTTGCCAAGAACGTAGACACCTCCCCCTACAGCACATGCACGACATGCAACCTGCGCAAGCTCAGACATGCCACCCCATTTCGGGATCACGGCGCCGAAGCCTGCCCCAAACACACCAATAGAGCGCAGATGTCTAGCGATCCGAGGCAGCGCATACTCTGTTGTGGTCTGATCCGAGGTATCAGGTGACAGCGTGAGAGCCAGCAGCGGACCTTGCAAAGCAACAGGGACCTTGAATTGGGCCGAAAGAAACGCCGAGAATGGCCGGCTCCGGTGATCTGTCCAAACTTCGGGCTGTTCTTCGTATTCTGCGATGAATCGTAGAAATTTCATCAAGGCTCGCTTCGCCTTGAAGTCAAGAATTTGGTCTTGGAAGACATCTTCTCTCCCATTGGGCACTTTGACTAGGCTTCCACGGCGTGATTCTGACCGGTGTGATTCTGACACAGTGGATGCCTCTGCACCCGTGGTTTCAGGGTTGGGAGAGTACACCCACCAGCTTCCGACTGCGAGGAAGTCGAGTTGCCGGTACACCTTGGACGACACGAGGTACTGGAGGAGCTCCGAGCGGGCATAGATCAGTTGTGGATTCAGAGCCAAACTATATGACCTCGAGAATGACAATGATGGCAATGTTGTGTCGGACTCGGCTGACTCCGGCTTGTCGATGGAGATGTGGGTGAAGGCAGCAGCCGATGAATCTGCAATGTGTGAGAACAGCTCTGCTTGACAGCCCTTTGGCAACATCCATACCATCGCTCACTCGCTTTGCCCACTCTTCAGCCTCCTGTAGGCTAAACGCAGCCTCTGTGCCGCCATAGTATTCGTTGTCATCGACATGGAGGATTTTCTTGTCAGAGCGCGACAAGGCTCTTCAGACACTGCGTCAGTCAGATGGCGAGCGACTATCAGCGCTTCGTGCAAACTTACAAAGCGAGAAGAGACTGCTGCAGGCCGGTGCCCACGATGAGAACGTCCCATTCTGTGTTGTCGAGAGTGTCCATCGTCCGTGGGTGGGAAAGAAAAGACTGCAGCAACGTTAGTCGCTCGGAAGAACTGTGGTGCCGCTCTTAGCGTGTGCATGACTCAGCCGTGGAGAAAACTCGAGCCGCGCTTTGGCAGATTGTTCTCTCCAACACGCGCATGCTGTGAGCAACGACGTCTGGATGAGTCTGCTCGGAAGCTACAAGGCCTTCATTGATCTTGATTGTGCGCGTGAGATGGAACATCGCCCAGTATCTACTGCTCTGGATTTTACCTGAATTTGCGGCTCGCAGTGGCGATACAGAAGCTCGCTCGCAGCGGCGAGCTTGTAAAATATAAATGCAACCCCTGAATGAATCGCCCAGATTTAAAATCTGTCAAATTGCTCTTACATTCGCAGTGCAAGTTATTGGCCAGGTTCTCAGGTCTAACATTCATATGTTGCCGTCGATGTGTGCAGATGCTCAGAGCCATGTCTTCCATTAAAATCAAGACATTCCGCAGATCCAATAGAGATGCATATGATATCGGAAGATGTGTCATGCAGAGTAATCTGCACTAGCCCGCCCCCCCACTGCAGAAGCTTGGAACAGTCACCGCGACTGCCGTGCGTTTCCACGACACAACCGAATGTCCCCACCACTCAACAATCCACTCCACAGCATGGCTATATACCGAATGCTGTCCCGAAGTGTTCATAATAACACCTCCATCTTCCTTGGTCTAGTGGTCATGATTTCCGCTTGTCAGCACCAAACGTTTGATGTAACAAGCGCGGGAGGTCAGTTCTTCTCAAACCCCTCAACTCCGAGCATCTTGCTAACGCAATACAGACCGGGGTTCGATTCCCCGAGGGAGAGAGATGACATTACTTTTTGAACTTTTTGACTTCGTTGAGTTTTGATCGAGATGTGGCTCAGTGACCTTTTCGCAAACCTTTTGCGTTGGAGGGGTACTTCTTAGGCACTACATGCCGAAGCAAGCCGGCAGAATCCCCCAGTGGCCTTTCCAAGCGGTACACAACGTTTAGAAGTCAGGTCTACTCCTTCCATCTATACCAGGCAGGGCCTATAAATGCTCACATTACAGAATAAAGAAAGCAAGAAGAACTTTGGGTAGCGAAATCACGCAAAATTGCGACTGTGGACACCCAGCTGGTCGCAGTTGGATGCTCTCGCATTTGACACACCAAAATCATACGAGACACTACTCATAAAGAGCCCTACTCATTTATATAGCGCTACGGGTCGCTGCGTTGTATAAAAAATCAGCATACATTCGTGTTGTAGATTAGGTTGGTTCCCTTTAAGCATCCTTTTAGGCACCGTTCTCTAATCTTTCTCTATATGTTACCAAAACTTTATGTCCCTCAAATGATGTATCGAAAATCGGGGTGGGCATCACCAATTCTTCCCTCATCAATCCAGGCCTGCCTCTCCTCAGCCGTCAATGCTTCCCTTGTCTTATTTTGCTTCCTCAAATACAAGTAAAGGGCAGTAATAAGAACTGTGCAGAGTGCAGCGACGGATAGAGACACCGTGATTCCCGTAGCATACCGCCCATCATGCGTTGTGTTCTTGAAGATTTGGCCGATAACAAGTCCAGCACAGTTGCCTATGGTCATGTTGAACCCGATGGCTGTGGCCCGCTTGTAGTACCCTGCGTGGTTGTTCAACATCATGACATAATTGAGACCGAGCATACACTGTAGGTGGATTAGCTGATGAGTTTTGACGATGGGGCGTCGATGCTTACATAGATGCCCGGCACTATGATGAAGCATGCAAAGTAGAGAACCCCACGATTACTCATGTCAACCCCCAAGAGGATGGAATATCCAATAACGACGACGAGCGCGCTTGGAACCATGATCACAGCTCTCTGCTGAATCTTATCCGAGTACATCGATACAGTGATGAACACTGCCACAGCGAAGAAGAAAATAGGGACGGTGAGAAGCTGAGTTAAAACAGATTCGAATCCAAAAGATTTGACGAGAGATGGCATGAACGTCGAGACGCCGAAGGACAAGATATCGCCGAGGAATTGAATCAAGGCGCTAAGCCAAAGCTTCTTATCCCTGAACGCCTTGATAACCTCTCCCTTGTCGAATACCTCGTTGAGTCTCATATAACGGTCGTGCTTGATGGCACGGAGACGCATAATCTCCTTGTCGTCCTCGTTCAAGAATTTGGCATTTTCGAAACTGTCTGGCATACCGAGCCAGAGGAGGAAAGCGATACCGATACTCAGGGCTCCTTCAACAATGAACAGCCATCTCCTGAGAAATATTAGCGAATACGCTATGAGTAAGTTACGGGAGTTCAGCATACCATCCAGCGATACCATGTACCCCGTCGAGCTTCAGTAATGCGTAAGCAAAAAGGCCACCCAAACCCCCAGATAATCCGACAGAGATATAAAGATACGCAAATCGACGTGCTTGCTCCGCAGGAGTATAAAAAGTTCTGTCAAAGTGTTAGTTGAAGTCATCGAGAAACTGGAATCAAGTGGTGTGAAAGGAAGACTTACGTCAGGGTAATGGCTAGAGCTGGATACATCCCAGCCTCAAAGAAACCAATCAACAATCGAGAAACGTAGAATTGGGGTACTGTTTTCATGAACCCGACACATAAACAGCTCACACTCCATCCAAGCCTGTTAATGGTAAGCAGTCTGAATAGTTAGTAGCTTTCGCTACTGTCTTACATGAACAACGGTAAAAGTCTGCTAGGCCTAATCTTTTTGACGAGGAGTGATCCCGGTAGCTCGAAAGGAACGTAAGTTACATAAAAGAAGAGAATGGCATCTATACCTGTCAGCAAACTTGAAACTAAGATATGCGTCAATACACCTACTGGCAAGTTGTTGTTTGTCCATTTTGAGGTCAGGGAGCATCCCGGCAATAGCAGCGTTTCCGATATTCGAGCGATCGAGGTAGGCGGAGAGGAATGACAGGGTCAAAAGAGAGGTAAGGCATAGATCGCACTTCCAAAGGAGCTTCCGTTCCCTCTGCGGATCAATGTAAATGTCTGCATCGTCAATTTGAGGCTTCTCAACTGAGATGGCCTCAGTGGCGATGTGCTTTTCAATGTCAGACATTGAGTTGACTTGGTCGTTCACGATGCTACTAAAAGCAAGTCCAGAAACTGGGAAGCATTGTCAGTCTTCTATACCTATGTCTCGTCTTAACAACGAGCAACACAATCGTATACCATTCCCCTCTTTGCGCTTGTAGATAGACACGGCCCGGATACTATCTTGCGAGATAAGAGAACTGTTCATTGAAGATCTAAATCGGCATTGTGTGCCTATCTCCGCAATGTTCGAGATAAAGCATGGCAAATACCCTACATGTACATCATCGCCATGCAGTAATAGATGCAAAAGATTAAGCATTCCGACTTGGCCGATGTTGCCCGGTCTTGATTGGGGTTGGCATTGCTTCAGTAGTGTCGGAAGCAAACGTCCGCTCGGATAGCATTGCTAGCGTCCGACTTGGACTACATTTTGGGGCCTCTACCAACACTTGTACACCACCTTCACTTCCGGTAGAAAAAACAGTTTTGAGGTGCCAGAAAAAGGATATGTAAAACCATGCCTTTTCATGTATGATGAGCCTAGATTATAGAGGCGAATCTTTTGTGGCATCTTGTTCCTTAGGTACGCTTCACGGCTTGACCTTTCACTTCGCCACTACATGTTCAACACTCCTTAGCCAAAATGGCCGGATCAACAAACGAAACGCTTCTCCTGGCCGAGAGATTCGCGAGTCATGCTCTCGACACACAGTATGAAGACCTAACCGAGGATGCCGTCGAGCAAGCAAAGGTGTTCATCCTGGATACATTTGGTGTTGGAATCGCCGGCTCTTCAGCATATGGTGCAGACAAAGTCAGGCAAGTTGGAGCAGCCAATGGCGCAGGAAACGAAGCAAGTGTGTGGGGCACAAGCCAACGACTACCAGTCGGCATGGCGGCACTTGCAAATGGCTATCAAGTCCATTGCCAAGAGTATGATTGTGTTCATGAAGGAGCCGTCTTGCATCCCCTCGCGACGACATTATCGGCGGTTATGGCTTATGCCCAGAAAACAGGAGGCGTTTCCGGAAAGGACCTGATTACAGCCGTTGCCGTTGGAGTGAATATATCAGCTGGACTCGGCATCGCATCGAAGTCGGCAATGACATTTTTTCGACCAGCAACAGCGGGAGGATTTGGGGCAACAGGAGCTCTAGGTAGATTAATGGGCCTCTCGCATGAGTATCTTGTGCAGGCTTTTGGCTTGCAGTACGCACAAACCAGTGGGACACTGCAGCCACATGTGGAAGGCAGCACATCACTGCCGCTTCAGGTTGGATTGAACAGCCGCGCTGCGGTACAGTCATGTTATTTAGCCCAAGCTGGATTTCCTGGACCCCGAGACGTCTTTGAAGGGCCTTATGGATATTTCCGTCTGTTCGAAGGACCAACTTTGTGGGATCTCTCTGCAACCTATCACTGTTTGTCGGGGAAACGATGGCTGATCAGCGAATTGAGCCATAAGCCGTATCCAGCAGGCCGAGCAACACACGGCGGTATTGAGGGTATCCAAGTACTTATGAAGAAGGCTGATGGCTCGATTATGAAACCCGAGGAAGTGAAGCGCATCACAATCACCGGTCCTCCGGTAACAGCAAGGCTATGCGCTAGGCCAGATATTCCGGACCCATCTCCTAATTATGCTCGGCTTTGCATGTCGTACGTAGCTTCCAAGGTGGTTCTGAACGGTTTTGTCGACCTTGCCCATTATCGAGGTGGTGAACTCAAGGACCCCGCCACACACGAGCTTGCGAAGCGCATTCGGATGTTATCCGATGGGCAGGAAGACCCCAATGCTTTGGTACCAGTCAGTGTGGAGATGGAAACTACTGGTGGTGAAGTCAAGAGTTGGAAGTGTGATCAAATGCTGGCAAGTCCATCTAGGAGACTCAGCAGGGAGCAGCATATGACCAAGTTTCGACGGTGTTGGGAGTTTGCGGCTGAGACGCTATCAGATAGTGCGCGAGATGAGTTGATAGAGATGATAGATGGATTAGAGGACGTCGTAGACGTAAGGGTATTAGGTGAGTTGATCGTCCCAGCACCAACGAAAAGTTCGAAGCTGTAAGAAAGAACACATCTCTCGCCGGGTGGTGAGCTCCGGATATGTGTTTAGGCACTGGTTTTCCAATCCTACTGCCTCTTCCTGAAATAGAGGCCCTGGAAAATTTCTTCTATTACTATAGCAGAAAATGTATGGTACCAGCACTAGCGAAAAGTCCAAAGTTGTAAGAAAAGAAAAACCTCTCAGTGGGTGGTGAGCTCTGGATATGTATTTGGACATTATTTTCCCAATCCTACTGCTTGTCCCTGAAGTGAAGGATGGGTTCTATTCCAGAAGAAATTGACAGTCCAATTACACCTACAAGGCTATAGTTTTTCCTGTGTAGACTTTGTCTCAATCTTCCGATTCCCGCTTCCACCCGCCTCCACCTGCTTCGCCCCTTCGATGCCTTTCAGCCAACCCACCCTATCTTTCGTAAATACCTCTCTCCTCGGAAACAATTTCGTCTCGTGCAGATTGAAATCGTCCACTGTCCCAATTCTCATAACACTCATGTCTGGAAAACCCGAACTACGTCGATACATCAAGGTTCCACAAGTGGGACAGAAGAAATCAGTCATCGTGTTGCCGGATGCGATAGTTTTGGACTGAGCAAAGGCCTTCAGTTCGCCTCGGACGTGGGTGAGATGTGAGTCGAGAACGATGAAGTTGGACGCAAACATTGAGGCAGTAATTTTACGGCATTTATAGTGCGTTAGTACAAACTCAAATTCTC